TTTCTTTCATAGTAGAACATTGACTTCTGCACCATTTTTAACTGTAAAATCAACACTGACAGTACCATATAACTGTGAAAGAAAAAAAAATGTTTTGCCCAGCCCAGTGTATCTCATCTCTTCAGGGCTTTCTCCATAAGAGGTGAAGGTTCAACAACGTGTTGACCTCATTCGTGGCTGAAAACGTCAGCGTCATCTGAAGTCTCACTGAAGCCTTCAGCTGTCACCCAGAGAGCAGCTCTGACGGACAAACCAGCAGGCTGCTGGAAATTTGTAGAAATAATAAAAAGGTGGAATCTATTTACTCCTGTTATTCTGACATATGGAATAAAATGTGCTTTCAGCCGTCTTGGTTCTTCCGCTTCACGCCACAGTAATCACATCAAATGGGTTTTGATTATTATGGCAGAGAAAGCTGGCTGACTCAGTCAGGACCGAGTGCAGAATGAATACAGATGGGAGCTGGAGGAGCCGCTTCACTCCCAGTGTTACTTTCAACGACAACAATTATACTCCGAACATATTGAAATAATAAATCCGCCTTTTAACTAAGGTTTACATGCTTGACATGAATCAAATGTGCTTTGACATCGAAATTTAAAGCAGCAACAATTCGACTTACAGCTGGATGAGGAATTGAAAGAGGGGAGAAAAAAAGCTGAATTAATGAGTGGAGGAAGGCAAATGCTTTTAGACAGGTGCAGCACTTGCAACAATTAAAAAAAGAAGAAGATAATACCCAATTATTGCTCTGTTTCGTCTAAAAGAGCAGTAAAAGGTGAGTTAATTACTTTAACTGGAGGCTCAGTGTGGTGTTGTTTGGGTGGGGGAGGACTTCAGTCACAGATCCTGCTCAACATGCCGACGTTTCAGAGCTGTGAAAGCCACATCTGCTGCGTGAAAAGACATAAGTACCACAGACTCTGTGCCTGGTAACTCGAGTTTCATGCAGGCTAAGCTTGAGTACAGGTGTTACAGAAAGGAAGAAACAAAAAAAAGCAATTTAAAACTGTAGAGATGCAATATTTTAGCCTAAAGCCGGTTAAATGTATCTGTAGCACAAACATTTCCAAGATGTTGAATAAAGACATGGTATATACTCTTCAAAATGAAACAATATTACAATCCTGAAAGCATGGTGATCCCCTAAAGTGGCTCAGCCAAGTATTTTGATATATTTTTCCCATTTAGTTCACCACTCTACTAATCAATCAAACAATCATATTTATTCAGCCACAAATATGGTCCATAAAAAACAAAAAACAGAACAACAAAAACAATAAAAATAAAATAATCATCCACTGCCCTGCATGTGGTACTAAGAAGAGCTGCAACTTAGACTATTTTACTGATCAATTAATCTATCTATTATTCTGATGATTAATCAATTAATCAGATTTTTAAGATGGCTCATTATGCAGATTATATGAGGTACTTCTAAATGATAATCTGGCAAAAATGTTGGAAAACATTTAACAACATAAGCTGTTTTTACACAATAAATCCATTAAAAGATGCAAATAAACAGAAATAATTTGGTTGTTTTTTTTAAATAAGGTTTTCTGATTAATGTTCTCATTGTCTGGTTTAAGAGGGCATTTCTTAGACATTTCTTATTAGTTTTATTTTTCAATCCCGTTTAAAGCTGAAGATTTTGTATTTTAACTTAACTTTGCTTTAAACATTTTCCAAACTTTCTCCCTGACCAGGTAACAGTGTTAAAAAACACATTTTTATCCCCAGGTTATCAGGCTTTTAAACTCAATATGATGGAGGTTTTTGTGTAATTTTTAATGCATATGATGAAACTGGGGTTTTTTGTTGTTGTTTTTTATTTATGATTCTTAATTTGCGTGATTTTTAAATGGTGTTGAAGAAGCTCATGGAGTACAAATTTAGTTGCCCAGTCTTCTTTTCTGAACAGATGACAGTGAAGTTATTTCTATATCTAGCAAACCTCTGTTTGTCACAGAACAGCTGGATTCATCATCCTGATGGGACTAGAATCTTCCTCACTTGATGGCCTCATGTAACAGTCAGAAGGGATTCACAGATTCAGTTTGACAAATATAAAGCTGTTGTGTCCTCCCTAATCTAACACTTTCATCAGACCTAATCATAGCTTAACGTTTCTGAAACATTCTTGGTCATTATGAGAATTCAATGGGAAGTGAGACGTTATGCTGGTTTCTGTTTGAATGTGTCGTCTACTTACAAATATTGAGGCGTCACCATGAAAAAATTGGAAACATAACTTATGCAACAGGCAGAAATCTATAAAAAGAAAAAGAAGAAAGAAGAAACACTTGCAATGCAAAGTTTTTTTTCAATTGATTTCTGTATTTGTGTCAGCTTGATGCATGTTTGGCTGTCAGATCGGTGTTGATCTGCTGTGTTTCTACAAGCCAGATGTTCCTGCAGAAAGCTCCGATTGTTCTGACAGTTTCTCTCCCTCAGGTGAAATATTGAATTGTGGGAAACGTCAAAATTCCTCCTTTTTTTTTTTACTAAAAAAAATCCAAACTAAATTATTTGCATTGCTCTGGGTTATTTGTAGAGTCTGGAAGACCCTGCCAAGGTCCTGTTGGCCACTTGTCAATTTTGCATCTGAATAATTCAAACAGCTACAATATATTTTTAAATAGCTGAAAAAGTCAAATAATAATAATAATAATAATAATAATAATAATAATAATAATAATAATAATAATAATAATAATAAAAATATGTTCATAGAAACTATTTTACACAGGCATAAGTGATTGATCCTGATTAAGTATTGTGAAATGACAGATATTGTCTATTTCAATATTATTCACATGAGGCTTTGTGTCATGGCTGCACACCAACCAGGGGAACAGCACTTACTGAAACACAAACTCAAAATGATTGAGAATTTCTGAATTAATGTAGTTTTTAATCAGCTTTTACTAAACAAAAAATACTTATTCACTTTGATGTTCATGGCAAAAGAAGTGGTAGTTTGTAATCAAACAACAATTTAGTGAAAATATGGGTAGCAGACTGCAACAGACCAGATCTGAATTTTATATGAAAAACACAGTCACATAGAAGATGAATCGCATTCATCATTCCTTTATTCAAAGCTGGGATCAATGAAAACCCATGAAAGACAAACAACGGCGTTTCCCTGGCCATCCCTTTGACCAGCAGCCGCAGCTGGACCCATTCTGAACGCAGAACAGATATTATCACCTGAATCGATCTGCGCAGCCTCATTTGTTATAATCGCCTCTTCTTGTTTTGTCATCCATGTAGCTGATGATGAGCTTCCCAAAAGGAAAGAGGGACATGAATATGTATACTCATCCACAATGACACACCTGCTAGTGTGTCATTGAGATCATTACCAGTTTAGCAACAAGTGGGAAACACTGTAGCTCATTTGAATCATTTTCTGCTGCCTGGACTGCACGGGCAACTGATGTGTGTCTCTTTGATTTCCCTGCTGTCCTGAATGTGCCCAGCAGATGGAACAGGTTTAGCTAGGACTTCCCGAGCTTTAAATGTATTATGTGTTTTCCAGGCATGTAGTGCCATTTTGCATGATAATCAAGTAACTACTCTTTCTGAAACTCCATCTTCAGGAAGTTATCACAGTATGGCTCCTCTGTTAACCCTTTACCAACGTTTCTACCAGTATTGCACTGAGAAGTGGCTCCTAAAATGAGCTCAGTAGATGTGCAGTTCCACCAGGTGTTTGCTAATTGTTGGTGGCTAGTCTGAAGGATCTGGGTAGGAGTCATGGGAAACGGCTGCTCTGTGAGGCGGAAGCTCGGAAACCGTAGCTCCGAGGAGGAGTTTTGTCCTCGAAGGCGGGGCTAGGTCCACCCAGGCGTTTTGCACAGCTGAACTGTTGCCATGGAGATTAAAGGGTTTCTCAATCATGTATGAGATCAATAACCTATGCACAGTATGCTGTTATTTTTGCACATTGCTCAGCCACAAATCAAGGCAACACTCCATGTATGTGTTTTGATGAAGAAATAAAATTATAACACGATGTAAAGCTTAAAAGAGTTGATTTTACATGACACTGCCCCTTTAAAAAACAGGAGTCACTTTATTCAAATGGATGTTGAAAGCTATATGTGTGGGCAGTGCGGGCCAAAATGTGTTTATCATACCTCAAGCAGCCTGAATTTGTTGGAAGTAGAGTATGTGAATGTTACGGCAATGAAAAATAACTACTGAGGGTTATTATTGCTAATGGTGGTTTTACAAGTTATTGGATAAGGGAAGCAAATGATGTCCTTATCCACCGCAACTGTTCCATAAAAAATGTTGTTCTGTCTGCTTGTTGGAAAACTGAATGCACATTTAAGAGGTTTTATAGAACCGAATGGAAACAATATTGAAATTTTACTAAAGCCACAAATCAAAGTAGTGCTATGAAGGCCTTGATGTTTGTTTCCTTAGATTATCAATGCTTCTTTACAGTTTCCACAACGCACTGTTCCAACAACCCGGGAGGTTCGGCTGATGTGCCAAACAGAAAATGAAATTCACTTTCCTTTTCAACCTCAGTGTTACAAACTTCTGCCAATAAAACTGCTTCATCCGACCTTAAAAGGGAAGTTAAAAACCGCACTGATCACAACATAATAGAATCTGGGTGAATCCGGGTTTTTAGTAACTCCTTAACATTCTGGTCATCTCCGTCCAACATGGTCTGATCAATAACCTTACATCCAGGCAAGCACTATGCAAAACACAAAACAGCAACTTGCACAGTATGCTGTTATTTTTGCTCATTTCTCGTTCTTGGAGGTGATATGCGCCAACCCCGCCACCTGTCGTAATTTTCTATGGGCTTATGTCAAATTTATTGATACCGAAACATTTAAAAACAATAATTGTGCTGCTATGGTTAAAAATATTTTATTATGCACACAAAATTCTTCTGCATTTTCCGTAAGAATGAAGACGTGACAATTTGATCCAGAAATTGCAATCATCGCGTCTTGTTTGTGGTTTTGCGTATGAGAATTCAATTTTCCCAGCCGCACTTGAACCCATCACAAACTCCTGATCCGGGTTGACATCAGAGGTGAACTTCTCCTCTTGAGTTTCGACTGGAGCGACTCCGGACGTGGGATGCTTTGGGGGTCGTTTAGCGAGATAAATATGGGATGGGAGCGGCAGTTCTAACGGGGGGAACATTTCCTTGTTACATGATAAGGGAGAAAAATGGAGAATTCAAGTGATTTTAACGCGACTGTTCCTTTAATTTCCGCCGAAGCTCTGCGAGCGCAGATTGTTCAAAATCCACTCCAGGTGAGTTGGAAAAATGAAACGACTGAGCATGGTGATGAATTATCTGGAATTAATGCAGTCATCTTATTATCGCGTGTTCGTGCGCTTTAAGTTTAGACTTAACTTTGTTGACTTAATGTGTTGGGGCCTCTTTGAATGAAAGTCGTTATACTGTTAAAAGCCGACTTTGTCTCACAGATACAGGTTCTTACCAATTAAATTTACAACTTTAAAGGTTTAAGATATCAGCCGCCCACCTCAACACATTCAACCCATCCATCTCGTTAGACAACACAGCATCATTCCCGGTTCAGTTTTTTGGAGCGTCTTAAATATTGGTTATTAAAATTTCCTAAATCGGGCGGAGTATTTCTCAGTTGGTGGCGCGCGCACACACCGTAATGTGTGATTGTGAGGCTGTTGTCCTCGACGCAGTTGTCCCGGGTTCAATTCCCGGTCTCGGGCCCTTTGCTGCAAGTCTTTCGCTTCTCTTTCCTGTCTATTTAACAAAAGTCTTAGACTTAGAGAAGTCTAAACATGCATTTTGGTTTTTAAATGTCAGTTACCATTAATTCAGTAAATCTAATTCTGCTATCCTTGGTTATCATATTTGATAAATCATCTTGACTAAACATTAGGATTAGACTATAGCTAAAATGTGGAAGTGTTCTCAATTTCTCGTGCATCATGATCAGCAGAGGCTATCAGGTGTTTAACCAAAATGTTGGATACAACAGTTCCTTCTGGTATAGCATTAAAATAAGTTTAAGTTGATTCCAGTATGTGTGTAGTGTCATATCATCACTGAGTTTACATTGAAACCTGTGAAAATTTTACACTCAAATTCCCCCAAAAAATGTTTCTTTGCTTTTAGGCATTAGCTGCCACCATGCAATCTTTGAATAATACTCTTGACTTTTTAATGGTTTCAAATAATGTTAGTTACTTCATTTTTAATAGTCTGACTTTAGCACTAATGCTAAATGCTCCTTGTAAGCTGTGCTCTTTTAATGCTTAAGCAGCTGTTGCTAATGGACACCCTAGCTGTCTAAAACTGTGTTTTGTTGGTGTATACTTTTGTAAAGAAATTTCAATAATTTGACGACTTTTTTATTATCTAAAACACAACCTTTGCTTCTGAAGCTTTTGGTGTAATGAAGAGTGTTGTGAACCAGGAAACTGACAGGGCAGAGATCTACTGCTGTTGGAAACCTTTTCAACTACCTTTTAAAGTGATTGTGACTAAACATTTTGCCGAAAGCCTTTTTTTAGTCTCCCGAAATGTGACTTGCAGACTCTCTCAATCTGCCTTTTCAATCAGATCTGATATTCAGATATGCAGCCTTTTCTGTTCGTCTGTGGTAGATGATGTGTGTTTGCTAATGTCCCACTGTGTGTGTTTTTGCCCGCCTAAATGTCCTCTTGCCCTTTTCGCTGAGGCACATTCTCCTGATGCTCATTTTCCTCTGCAAAGTGTTTCTTTCTTTTATTGGCATGTTTCCTCTGGGTGACATTACCAGCAGGGGCCAGGGAGAGAAAGAGAAAGAGTGGCAGAGGAGGAAAGAGAGAGGCGTGAGTAATGAGTAATGGCTCTTGGGTGGGATGTTAGAGAATAGATCTACTGTATGAAGTCCTGAACAGCTGCCTAATGGTCCCAGCTACCCACCATCCCATGGAACATCCCTAACTACCAGGGGACAATATCTGTCTGTCTCACTCCGTTTCATAACTCTTTATGTTTTGCATTAATATCGGCTTCAATGCTTCAAGCAACTTTAAGAGTTCACTTTTACATACCCCAATTCTCTGCCAGTCAATATGCAAAAGTTTCCATCTTGCTAAATCTATTCAGATTTAACAGCCACTTCGTGGACCGTTTGCACATTTATTTGCCCCCAAAGCACAAAATACATTTTGATTATCAAATTGCCCTACATATTTGGAGCTGTAATTCATTTAAGTTTCTAAGAATAGCCATTGTTTATGCTTCTGGCTGATGTCTCTACTGGTTATTAGTTCAGTGTCTTGATTTTGATAAAAAGCCCTGCTTAGTAAACATGTAGTTGGGAGTTAAATGTTTTCAGAGTCTGAGGAAAAAATATATTTTCCGAGTCCACCAGGAATGTTGGTGCATAATTTCTTACAATTATCAAAACCAGCGATGACTATCAAGAGCTTGCATGTCATTACTTCCCCTTCATTCTTTGATTTGACTCTTTCATCCTACGTGCTTCTTCGTGTCCTCAGCACTTAGCAGCAATGAAAAAGATCAGGCCATCCCATAGAGGGACAGTTGCCTATTGTCTTTTGACACAAAAGGCCATGCTGTCTCCAAGTCTGTCTGTTGGTCTGTCCGTCTTACTGTTGGTCAGTGTCATAGCATGGAGTGGGATCCGATCCTCTCATCTGCCTCGATCCTGTACAGTTTTACATTCAACCACCCACTTAGTAGTAAAGGTGGACATCTATTGTACCGTTTATCATTTATTGTGAAACATTTATCATCATGATAAGAATTTAGATTTATCATTGTCATGATAAATTTCACTTATGAATGCTCTTTTTGCTCTTCTCCCCCCCCACTAAAGCGTCAATAAATATCAACACATTTGAAAATATGATTAAATTAAGTCACTGTGTCCAATTTGGTGACATAAAGCAAACTTCTTTAAGTAAGTCATGGGAATGTTTTTCAAGAACAATATTAAAGTTTGTGTTGCTATGAATGAGTTTCCATGGAGAGCCAAAGATTCCCAAAAAATAAGTAATAAATAGTATTTTTATCATAATATTTATTATCTCAATACCACAAAATATTGCATGCTGCTAATGTCACTGTGCTTGATAGTTTGTTTAATTTTTTAGACTCTTGGGTTTAAAAGATCCACTTTGACTTTTCATTTGAAGTTTTTAGTCTTTTTCACACCATGGTTTCAGTCAAGAATCCCCCTTTTTGGATCATTTTTTATTCCTCATACAAGTTGATACACCAAGATAACTAGGCTCAGATTGAAGACTCGAGGGGCCTTTAACTAGGCAGCTTCAACATGAGGACAGGCTGTAAATGTGTGTCGGGCAACTCTCCTTATCCTGTAACACGGTAGCTGTCCAAATGCATTTAGCATTTAGATCAAAGCGAAAGTGTTGTTACCACAGTAACATATTTCTTTCATTAGATAGATGCTGGAGGATTATAAAGTTGAACTGGCTCTGCTTTGTATCTTATCAGACTTTTTTTCCACAGTCTCGTCTTATCCTTACATCTGACAACTGGGTTAGCGTAATATGATCAGTCGGCATTAACTCCTATTTTCAGTCAAAGGTCCATTATCATTTCACCCAGAAGGCATTTGACTTCTCTATGTAGTCATCTGCCACCATGTCAGTCCATAATGATGTAAAAACACTTTTGTTGTGAACAATTTCAGCAGTTTTCAGTTCATGGCAAACTTCAGTCTCGTTGAACATCCTAAACAATTTCTCTATATCTCAGCAGGGAAGATTTGGGTGTTCTTCCAGACCTTGGCAACAAAGTTACAAATGCGACTAATTTGTGCTTATATGTATTAATATTTGAAAAAGTGAGTTTTAATGGTTCATGGACATGGCTAAATGTCAAGAATTTATATAATATTCAAGCCCAGGATGACTGAATGGCAGTTTCTCATCATAAATGTTGTTCTTGTTTAATCCATAGATTTTTATGAACATGGTTCAGGTTAAGTAGAAGATAATTGAATCCAGCTTTATTTTAACATGTGTGTGATCTAATTTAGATGACACAGGCTGCAGTTGAGTTTGGAAATCACAGAACTAATTTCCCCTCTGGGACAAGTAAATAAAACCAGCATAAGTGAACACATTTTCAGCTTCTTTTCTTTTTCTTTAATCCTGATTTTCAGGCCTGTTGGAGTTGGAGCACAGCTCACGTTTGTGTAAGTATGACTTCAAAGTGCCAGGTAAAAAGACCACTGGGATATTTATGTGATGCCGTTTTAACTTTTAACTAAGCACGGGTTACAATGTCCTGCTTTGAGTAGTTTACTCTGGTATTTTATGAACCGTATTTGTAGCATAGTGAGTGGTTTACAGTGCAAAAACCACCATCACTGCCACATTAATTTAGGGCTATTAGAAATTAGAAGTGCACTGATGAATTGACCCCAATCTTATTTTCATTTTGGGTGATCAGTGATTGTCCGTTGCTTGTATGTGAAACCAATCTTATCCACCTCCTAAGGCTAAGGTCTAAAAATCATCTGCTGTTCCCTTTTGCTCTGCCGTGAGAGAGGACTGACTGATTGCACCAGATCATGTCTGCACATGCATGGTTAACAATGGTCACTCCACTGTTACCAACTTGGCAAATTTTTTTTATCATATTTGGTGACTATTAGACTAAAAAATTATCAGCCAAAATTAGAATCGATAGATCAAGCATTTTAAACTTTGGTGATCGGCCAGAAAACTACAATCAGTACATCCCATTAGCAATGCAATAAAAACAAGAAGAAGATACACAAGTTTAAATTTATTGTGGATCTAATCTAAACAGGATCAAAATTATGCATTCAGGCAAACCCAGCTTTTAAGTACAGTTGAAAGATTGCCCAGCATATTTGAGATGAAGACTTAGCCTTTTATTTATGTATTCAAAAACAGTTTGGGATGATTATCCTGTAGGAATACCCAATTATGGCCAAGTCTTAAGAACGACAACATAATCCTCCGTCATTGTTTTCAGTATGTATATATTTGAGCCTCCATGGTGGAGGAAGCTCAAATATAATGGAAACCAAAACCAAAATATTGCAAGAACTGAGTGTTTTTAACAGATTAGCTAATCCAGTATTGTTACTTCATCTGTCCTGTTCTGTAGGTGTTTAATCTACTCCCTTTCCACAATTCTGAGCATAAAAACATTGAAATCTTCTCCACTTGCTCCTGCTTGGAAGCAAACACCCCTCCAACATAAAGAGCTTTGTAGCGTCCTGTCTCCTGCTCTCTGTGTGTAAAGTTTGTAATGTTTGCTAAGTAATAGATCCTCCCAGTGTACCGGCCTCGGCTGCTTTGTTTGCTCTTCCTGTGACGGAAAAAGCTCTCTCTCTTTCTCTCTCTCCCTTGGTCTTCCTCCGCTGCTTGCTTTCTCTTTCCCACTTTCTCATGCGAATTTGTCTCCCTCAGTGAGTAGAGCATTAATCTTTCGCTGTTTGAGTGAGGTGCTTGATTCCTGCTGAGACCCCCCTCTCTCTTTTCCCGACTGTACTCCAAAAGCACACCTCCCGTCTTCATTGACAGGCAACAAATAAACAAAGGAGAGCATAATTCGCTGTAATTAGTTGAATTCCGCTTGCTGGCACGCTTGGTATGATGGGAATGAATCCAGTAGAAGGTGAGATGAATCCCTGCTCACACTTTAAATTACTTTCTCCAGTGTGAGGTGTGTGAAATGAACTATCCTCAGGCAGTTCATCCACTACCCTAACACCTTCTCACATGCGCTCATGCTTTCAGAGGTCTCGTTCTGCCCTCCGGTTCCTCTTGGCATTAACCGGCAGCCTCTTCAGACCCCTCATGCAGTCTCTTGGAAAGCCTGACAAGGCTATTGATGTTGATTTAGTGAACGGAGTGCATTTGATGGAGGATGCCGTACATCTCCCTGTAAATCAGCAGGAGAGACACTGAAATCCTACCCTGATCTAGGGCTGCAGCTAATTTTAGTAATCGATTATACTATCAATTACTTGATTATTTTATCGATTACTCTGGTGATTAATTGGTGATTAATCTTATACAGATTGACACATTCTACATATTTTTCATTTAAAACCACTTAAGCCTTTTTGTACAATATTACAAATACATTAAAAGATACAAATAAAGAAATCAGTTTTTTAATTGGGAAACTAAACATTTTCTTGCCTAAAATCCAATAACAGCCTTCATTTAGTGAATACTTGATCACTAAGGATGCATCTCCTTGATTTAACATCAACATAGCGTAGGGCTGATCTGTTAATTATATTTTTTTGGCTGAACTGATTAATAATTGGATAGCAAAAGCTTCTTAATAGGAGATTTTGTTAATAGAATTTGAGCCAGATGAACTAAAACTATACCACTTAGAGAGTTCTGGGTGGAACACATTAATATACAAAGAAACTTTCATCTTGACTGTATAATGTTTACATTTTTGTTTATTTTTTCAGCAAATGGCATGTTTTAATATCATAGTCCAGTTGACAATCAATGACGAGATTAGTTGATTATTGAAATAATCGATTATAATCACAACAAACTGGTTGTGTTTATAATGATTAATCCTGATTATTATGTTTAATAATGACTAAATCACAATTAATCAATCATGTCGATATTTGATTAATCACGATTAATCATTTGAGCCTTACCCTGGTCTATCAGTCTTTCTGGCTTAACGTGGGAATGAACTGCTGCACCCCCCTCCCCACACTCAGACACTATTTACCTTGACTTGGTGTTTGTCCCTCAGGAATCTTATCAGCGCTCTGCCCATCTGCTCCCCACCTCCTCCTCCAAGAAATCCTGTTTCCCTCTCACACACTGCAATCATTGGGGCCGATATAGAAAAACAAACAGACTGATGTCTAAATCTTGCTGTGCTCTAGTGATATATCATCCCAGCTCAGGTATGTTCCAGGCCAATGGGCTCATCATCAGACATGGTGCCAAAGTGAAAGCAGTGAGCAGGGGGTTGAAATCATGGAAGCAGAGAAAGATAAGACTGAATGTGAATTTCAGATCACCCATAAATCCATAGGGCTTAAATCATTGTTCAGGCTTCCAAAGGAGATAAAAAGCACTTTCATGCAACACAGAGCAGTGGTTTTACTGTACAGCGATGTATGTTGAATGGACTTACGGAATTATGTTGTGTAATGAGGAGGTAAATCAGAAACAAATAGAAATGGGCTTTGGAGTTTTAGGGAAAGCAACGGCTAAGTCTCTCCTTGTTTCATTCCTCCTGCTGGATCCTCTGGAGTGACTTATTTGTTTTCCTTATGTACACAGCTTACACACAATGGATAGAAGTGCCTTACAAATGTCATTGTAATATTTTTGTTGGACTGCAATATTAAATAGTTTACAGTTAACTTGATACAATATTGAAACTGTATAAAATAGCAAATAATTCTGTTTATTTTCTGTATATTTTGTATAGTTTTGGTTTAATTACAGCTCTGACTGTGGCGCTCTTTCAACAAGTGATCGGGTTTTTGGGAGGGCCTGTAAACTCCAGTTAACAATTAATCAGTTACTAAATTCACTGAAGATCATTTCAATCACTGATTATTCGCAATTAATCAACCCTATTTCAAAGTGAAATTTGGGTATTTAAATGTTGAATGGCAGTAAGTTGGTGTTGACACAAATGAAGGGCTTCTACCCAGTCAGTAACAAATGTGAAATGACAAAAACTCAAAACAATGTGTAGTAGCAGCTTTGACCAAGCAGCAGTGATTAGTCTGTTATGTTCCCAGAAGGTAGTTCAGGTTTTGTGTCTTCTGGAAGAAAATGTTGCCTTAGCAGAGTCACACTGACATTGCGGTTGTCTTATTAGCCCAGTGGACCACTGAACCTGAACATTGACATTCTCCTCTCCTTCATTTTTAATCTTCTTAATCTGTTTTCTTCTCTGCATCTCCTCCCCTGCTCCCTTTCGTATACTTATGTTTTATTCCTCATATTTGCTCTGATTGGGTTCCCATTTCTAGTTTCCATCATTCAGGTTCCACCCCCAAGCTGTTTGGATTCCTATGATTCCTTTATAAAGTTTGTCCTCCCACACCCAGCGGTACATTTATGACCTGAAACTGTTTTTCCACCTGGCAGCTATTTTTCCAGGGATGTGAGAAATGTAGCACAACATGTTCTTTTTCGTTTATGAATGAATTCTGGGCTGGCTCAGTAAGCCACAGATAGATGGAGGTTTTCAGAAAAGTCATTTTTACTGCTTCTCTTAAACGTTTCTATGTTCATCAAATAGTCGTCATTTCCTAAGCTTTTTCCCATTAATACGTTTTAATGAAACAGCCTTAAGGAATTATGTTCCATTTGGTCTGTTGAATAGAAAACAGATTATCCTGAATGAATAATATAAATGTAATGGCATCATCGGTAGAGGTGTTCAAATGTAACTGCAACAGCAAATTGCTTTCGTAGTAAAATTGGTCCATAGGGAAAAATGTTAAAGAGCATTATAATATAAAAATCACTATATATTTCTGATTTCTTAAGCCTGTTATTTATATTCCACAACAAATTATTCTAATTTTTTTTGTGCTTGTTGAACAGCAAAGTAAAGGAAGTGCAAAAAATGCAGGCACAGATCAGGACTTAAAAAAAACCCATAGCTTTTAGGTCAAATTTCTACACTGAACATTAGGGGTGCTCTAGCTAGAAAAAAAGAGAGTAACTCTCTAGAAAAAGCAAGGACATTTATGAGTTTGAAAAGTCAAAAATTTGCGTGGAAATTCTCAGAACTTTGAGATTAATTTCAGGAAATTTCTAGAAAAAACATGGAAATATTTGAGTTGCAAAAGTCAAAACAATTCCCACATTTTTCTAGAAAATTTCTGAGATTAAGTTCAAAATGCCTGAGTATTTTTTTATTTACTTTTTTTTTCTCTGTCTGTCTACAGTGGCTCTAATATGCTGTTATACATTTCTGATAAGTTTTAAACCTTTTGCCATTTCGTTAAGTTCAGTTAAATATGTTTCGGTTCTACAATACTTTTTACTTCTTTCGGGCTCTTAAAAAGTCCTGAATCAGTGTTTTGACCACAAGTGTTAAAGTACTAAAGAGTTCACTAACCTCCATCTAAGGTGTCGGATATCATGGGAAAACTACGGATGTGAGGTGTGTTTGTGTTTTTGTGTGTGTTTCGTGCTTCTTTGAGAACACTGACTTGTGTGTGTTTGTGTGTGTACAGTCTGAGAATAAAGATTTTAATGTTATTAAACATCAGCGGCCTGGGCTCTACAGGAGGTTTGCACATTAATGCCTCTGAACAGAATACCAGTGGAAAGACGCTCTCTGTGGTTGTCATGGAAACGACACATGTGACAGCTGGAGATGAGACTTGCAGGGAGTATTATGGGCTGTTTGGCATTGTTTGGCAAATGGAGCGTTGCCTAATCTTCTGCCTGTTCGCTCTTTGTTTGCACAGAACTATCTCCTGGGAATCATCATCTCCATATGTGGGAATGTCCTCATCAGCGTTTCACTCAACATACAGGTACGGAGCGCCAGCCGACAGCAGTAACGCAGCACCTCTGAAGGTTTATCTCGCCCAACCGTCTTTCCTCTGATAGTTTACTCTGTTTTCGCGAGGATTTTTGTAAACCTTCCCTGAGGCACTGACCGTGTATCTCCTCTCAGGGTCTGAGCAGCAGAAAAGCTGCTGGCCTGTTTTTATTTTAAATCAACATACATGCCATTTATCTGTGCAACTAACAGATTTTTACCAGTTAAGAAGTGATGCACAGTTGGAACGTGTTTATGATATAACTATAGTAGGGCTGCACCTAACGATTATTTTAGTAATCGGTTAGTATATCGATTATTCTGATGATTGATCGGATAAAAGCAAATGGCACATTCTGAGACTTTTCTTCACCACTTAAGCTTTTTTAAACAATATTAGAAACACATAAAAAGATGTAATCATGCAAAAATATAAATAAATAAGAAAATAAACATTTTATTGCCTATAGTACAATAACACAGCATTTCCTTAGTGAACGCTTGACGTGTGTGGCAAAGGTTGGAAAAACTGTCAAATCAGTATGTAAAAACTCAGGGCTTTCTGCTTTACTTATCAAATGCATCTCTGGACTGATGTGTCAATTTATTTTTGGAATAACCGATTAATAATTAGATAGCAAAAAATGCTGAGTAGGAGTTTAAAAAAAATTGAATTTGAACCAGGTGCAGCTAAAATTGCCAAGTGAGGAGATCTGGGTAGAACATACTTAGATTATATTTTTATCTTAAATTTAAATCTTTGTGTATATATATATATATACTTACAGTATTGACTTAAGTGCTTTAAAGACGTTGTTCTTTCAACCCTTTTTGAGTCTATGTACTCTAGTTAATGATTAATTGATTACTAAATTGGCTGTAAATGGTGTTCATCAAGCACACACACACACACACACACACACGCACACACACCCTTAACCTGTTGTGCTGACTGGAGTCCAGAAACATTACTTATTCCATACCCTGGTGTTTTTCTCTTGCTATGTAACTTCGATCGAACCTGCATGGCGCCTCTCATGCTGAGCTGCTCTCTGATTAGCAATGATAGCAGGCTGATGTGCAGAAGTTTGTGTGGTTTTTAGGAACAGGACGGAGGTGTTAAGATTACAAATGTTTTTGAAGAGGTTGCTCGTTTGTCATCATTAGGCAGTGGAAGCTTCCAAAACCAGATTTATTAATGATTGTTCAGCGTAGCGTGCGTTCGCGTCATTAGAACTGTAAAGTCCCACTTCACTGACTTGCCTAATTGGCGTCATGCTTCTGCCTGGATACATTTCTAATCAGCAGAGGGTGTTATGGTGTGTTAACAGTCACATTACATCAGATCTGATCCTGTATTGTTTATTTAATTACATTTCCTTTTTTCTTAAGCCTGAGTGAGACTGAGAAACTGTTGTGTGTAGTTTTGCATGCTGTGTAGCTCTCAGGTTTAAATCACTTTAAATGATGGTTCCCTCCTCCCCCCACCCTTTTTTCCTTGTGGCAGAAATACGCCCATGTCCGTCAGGCTCAGCGTGCCTCCAAGCCGTATTACACGTCTGGGATGTGGTGGTCTGGTGTCGTCCTGATGGGCGTCGGGGAACTGGGGAACTTTGCAGCCTATGGTTTTGCCCCAGCATCACTTATTGCCCCACTGGGCTGTGTGTCTGTGATAGGTGAGTCTGCTTTTAGCTTCTTTTTACTCGTCTGGAGGGCTATGAGAGAAACTTGGCTACAATCACAGAGCCACACTCGGAAATTTGCAAATGTTCAAACACTGATACGCAAATCAGTAGGTAACATACAGGTGTATCTCAATAAATTTGAATATTGTTAAAAAATGTTTTTCAGAAAGTGAAACTCGTATAATACATAGAGGTGAAGAATTTCAAGCCTTTATTTATTGTAATTTGGATGCTTATATGGAAACCCAAAATTTTGTGTCTCAGAAAATTAGAATAATGTATTAGATTAATGCAAACTTTTTCCTTTAAAATCCATAAATTCCATGTTATGCCCAACACAGCTGTCTGGAAAACTAATTTTCAAAAACTGTGAATATGTGGAACATTTTCAATGGGTATGAATAATTTTGCAAAATACTGTAAAAATGTTCCCAGAGTTTCTGGATGTTGAAATTTCACCTGGGCTTTATTGAATTGATTTGTTCTAAACTCGAAAAAGATTCTTCTGGGAAATGGGCTTTAACCACATTAAACTCTCACTGCTGCATTAATATTTCACATAATTAGTCGGAGCACTGCAGCAAAAACTTGAAATCACAGCAGGTTGCTCTGTTGCTGGACTTTGAGTGGTTCTCCCATCTCTGGTCGCTTTTAAGATTAATTTGGACATTTACATTTTATCAATGGCCCAGGAAGTCCAATTACCACCAACTGTATAAATTCTAACATTCAGCCCCAAAATGATCTCTCTTTTTTAATTTTTTTTTTTTTTTTTTTTTTTGTAGTTTGAATGAAACATGTCGTGAACTGGGCCCAGATTCATTAGCCTGTCAAAACAGAAGCGGCTGGCCTTGCTGGCAGCTGCTTTAAAAGTGGGTTAAATATTGAACAGGTTCACTTCTCACCTGCTGCCACCCATCACTCACTGACCTGGAGGTGGCGGAGAGTCAATGATATTAAAGACAGCTATTAACCCAGTGCCTTGAACGATTTTGCCCGTCTTGCGAGTGGATGAATGGTTTTTATAACGCGCTAAACAAAACCACAAATCTTGTTAAGAAGGCTGGAGCTCTTGTTCATTGTATTTTTGGTGTTCGATTTGCTCCGGCGAGCGGCCACTTGAAAAATGTCGCCGTCACAATAAGTGGACTTAATCGCTGTAAATCACAGAGAGCAGCAAGCTGCTAATACAGAGTTTGTCAGTACGAAGCTGACCTTACTGCAGATTCTTTTCAATCTGTGTAAAAAACACAGGTTTTTAAATATTAGCAGAACATTCCACAGTTTCGCACAGCTGTGTGTTAAAGGGAGCTGCCAAGCTAATTAATTTACCAGAGATAAAGAGGTGCGAGGAGAGGAAGTTGTCTGCAGCTGCGGCACGCTCTGCTCTAATCATAACTTCCACCTCACACTGACTCACATTGGAAATGAACAAGCACACACACCCACACACACACACACACGCCTCCACAACTTGTGCACACTTAAGGTGATGTGTACACTGTATTTCTAAGTTAAAACCAAAAATGATTTTGATTTTAATTCAGAAATTATAGTAGATTTAACAGCAAGAGTCAAGTTGTCTAAACACAGGTTTTTTGGTTCTGATAGCT